GGTTCAGGGTTGAGGGTTTAGGGTTTAGGGTCTGGGGGTTTAGGGTTTAGGGTTTAGGGTGGATCGCAGAGAGCCCAATAACCCTTAAGTAAGGAATATACCTTAAATCATAATATTAAGGCCCCTATATTTTAGGGTATATTCCTTCTTTAAGGGGTATTGGGCTCTCTGAGTAAGGGATTCAAAACTTCAGTTAACGGTTCTTCAGGGTTTAGGGTTTAGGGTTCAGGGTTCAGGGTTTAGGGTTTAGTGATCTATAGCAAATAATAGGGTTTCGGTGCGATGGTCGCTTACACCTAAATGCCGCAAAGCAGAACCCAGGTGGTGACGAAGGGCAGGAAGTCTCGCGCGGTCCGGATCGCCCATGCTGCCTCTTAGATGGCCAATGGGATAAGGGTTTAGGGTGTAGGGTTTAGGGTAAGATTTTTGGCCTTATATTATGAAAGGTCTGTCCCAAAAAGTTTGAACTTGTTTCGGTCCTAGTGGTCGAAGAAGAGAGGCCTTGGTGCACTATGGCTATCTGGATGCACCAGGAGATTGCAGCGTGGAGGAGTTTTGCGGAAGCGCTGCGCCGGAGATCTGCGAGGATGCTTCGCCAAGGGTTGCTGCATCCAGAGCCTCCTTGCTGAGCAGAGCTGGTCGCATGCTGACGGCGGTGAAGGGGAGGATGCCGTTGATGCGTGTGCCCAGGGTACGGCACATGGTGTCCAAGGCTTTTCGGAGCTCTCAGCCATCCGAGGCAGTGTCAAAAGTGCCACTGCGGCGGGAGAGCGAATCCCAAAGCTGCGACGCCGGCCATTCTCTTGCCCAGGCCCTTGACTTTGTGCTAGACGGGGATGCGGAAGCAGAAGCAGAAGTGACGGGGGTGCTTCCGAAAGCAACGAACATGCTCCCGGGCCTTGTGGTATCCAACTCCTCGGAAGCAGGGAAAAACCCGGGAGACTGCTCCTCGACCATCATCGCGGACTCCGAGAATAACGACAAGAAGCGCGAGAGAGTGACTTGTGCCAGTATTGTGCTTGACTTTCCGGTTTCGTCGGCAGGCAAGGCTGCTGACGATCATGATCTTCTCCTGGAGGAAGACGGCCAGGACGGTGCATCATCGGATCCGCCAACAGACGGTGCAAAATTACCTCATCCACCGACAGACCGCGAAGCACCTCGGCAGTCTCGATTCGGTGCTTCTTGTAGAATTGTAGAATAGAAAATGTTATATAGTATATCATAGTACAGTATAGTATATTGTTGTATCTGTCTGCCCACAGGTCTTGTCCAGTCGGCAGTGCGACTTGCGCCGGTTCAGCAAACACGTCAGCGAGTCGCCCGACGAGTCGCGAGAGGTGCCTCAAGAAGCAGATGCTTTTGAGTTTGCGCCTGTGCTCAGTGATGAGCTCGAGTGAGTAGTGCACGGGGTAGGGCAAGCTCACGTACCCCTAAGCCCTAAACCCTAAACCCCTACTGGTGTAGCTTGCAAAAACATCCTCGACACGCGCTCGTCGCGACATGCTCGGAGGATGCCGGATTTTGTCCGCAGCAGCCGTGTGAGTCCTGTGAACTTTCCTTTAGTGTTGCTTTATCGGCATGGGAAACGAGATGTGAGCAACAGGACAACATCCGTGTCTTCACGAGTCGCAAGAGGTGTTGGAAGAAGAAGCAGCAGATGCTTTTGAGCTGGTGCCTGTAGTCGCTGCCTAGCTCCAATGAAGACCGTGTGCGTTCAGCTGTGGCTTACAGAAACATCCTCGACACACGCTCGTTGCAAAATTCTTCGGATGCCGGATATTTTCCGCGGCAGCCGTGTGAGTCCTGTGAACTTTGGTGGTGTAGTGTTGGTTTATCGGCATGGGAAACGAGATGCGAGCAACAGGGCTGCCGCCAACATCCGTGTCTTCCCAGTGAACATCCCTTTGACTTGAGGCTTCTCGACTTCCGAGGATCATAGCCATGCAGTAACATGCATTTTGCAGTCTCTTTGATGCTCGCTGCTAGCTGAGCTAGCTGCTATGTGCCCATTTCTACAAACATCTGCGCGATATTCGCCCTTGGCGAGTCGCAAGAGGTGCTTTCCACAAGAAGCCGGTGCTTTTGAGTTTTGCGCCTGTAGTCAGTGACGAGCTCGAGTGAGGACGGCGTGGGGCCAGTTTCTTCCTGTTTCAGTACGTGGTTTAGGGTTTAGGGTTTAGGGTTGACGCTTTGATCTAGCTTGCAGCAACGTCCTCAACATGTGCTCGTCTAAATGGTTCTCTTTTGCGACATGGTCGGGTGCCGGATAGTATCTGCAGCAGCCTTGTGAGACTTTGGTTTGTCGGCATGGAAAGCAAGATTCAAGCAACAGGGCTGCCGATAGCATCTGTGTTCCCCCAGTGATCATGCATGTGGGAATTTTTTTGAGTTTCGTAAGCAGCTTTGGCAGTTGGAGCTCTGCCAAGGTTGCGTCTCACCTCCTAGGGATGAAGATTCCCTCAGATGCTCTTGACAGTGGTGGCGGCGGCAGTGGTTCGTGGTGGCGCTTGTTCTCACGTTGTTTGCAGAAATCTGTTCGTCAGTTTTTGGCCTCTGAAAATCTGACGGAGCTGTGGACACTACTGTTTTTCTCCTGTCTTAGCACTGGCGGGCAGGGCTTAGAGTCTTGAAGGGAGCCATAAAGGCACCCTTAAACTGTTGTAGGGGATCGGCTCAGAGGGCTATGGCAAGATGAAACCTTGCTGTTGGATGCCTGGCCGGATGCCTTACCGGCAGCACACTTTCAAATCTGGTTTGAAGAGCACACCCCTTCCGAGGCCACGTGGGAAAAGCCAGGGCTAGTCTCGAGTGAAGGGGTTGAGGCTTGAGGGCTCAGGGATTTAGAGTTTCGGGTTTTAGGCTTTTAGGGTGTAGGTCCAGGTATTTAGGGTTTAGGGTTCAGGGTATGGAAATTGAGGTGGCGCCCAACCTAGGTAGAGAGAGCCTGCAAACAATTTCCCCGTCCATTTTCAGCTGAATTCAAAAACTCGCACCTCCCTCAAATCACAACGCGGAAAGCCCGGAGCAACAGCTCAGGAAGACACCCGGCACTCCCGAACTCAAACCAAGTGCGAATTTGCAGCCTAGGCTGCCTACGCTCCTTAAACCCAGATTTGTGCAAGATTTCCCTTCAACCCTGATTCCTGAATCCTTCGGTGCCCCTCTTGAACCTTTAACCCTAAACCCTAAACCCTAAACCCCTTAAAGGAACACTATCCACAGGAGTGTCCCGGCGCCGGAGCCTGGCGACTGGCCTGCCTGGAGGCCACTGCTCTTGCCCGTCTTTCCAGTAGCAGGTCGCAGCAGCGGCAGCAGAAGTAGTTTCGTAGTAGGAGGTGGTGGTGGTGGTGGTAGTAGTAGTAGTAGTAGCAGCAGTAAGAAGTAGTCGTGGTGGTGGTGGTAGTNNCGTCGTCGTCGCCGTCGCAGTCGTAGTCGCGGTCGCAGTTGTCGTCGTAATCGTAGTGGTAGTGGCGTGGTAGTGGTAATCAGTGGCAGTTCCAGTGGCAGGGGTAGGGGCAGTGGCAGTGG